TGCATTGTCTTTGGCATGAACTGCTCTCCCTTCCACTTTCTGAATGAATGGATGAGTTCATTGCGTGTGATGCCTGTCACTTTGGGTGAGATCTTGCCCAGGTAGCGCAGCTTGGTGATTTCATCCAGCAACTCAAGCTCTCTGAACTCCTGACGCAGACTCCCAGATATTCCTCCAGTCAACTTTCTTGGGTCAAATGGCTGCACAATAATAGTCCCATTGTATGTGGATCCTCTGGACAGGCAGGTGTAGATTGACTGGTGAGAGCGGCAATTTTGCAAATCACACACATTATGTGGCCGTGTACGTCCCTGGGATCCAAAGTCTGTCATGGCAAAGTTGGGAATGACTGACACTTGGTCACGGGAAATGGACAGGAAATTTCCATTGGGCATCTTGCACCTGATCTTGCGTGACTGGTGGCTGATCGGCACTACATTCTCTGGCAATCCATCCAATTTCACGGTGGTAGGCGCAGCAGTGAGCTTGACAAACAGTGTTTCCAGGGCTTCCTTGTCCTCGCTGATAGGTCTGGACTTCCAGCCAACAACCACACCCTCTGCTCCATTGGTCACACAGCATTCAGTCGCTTCATTGATCTTAATCATCACGGGCATGCCCACACACAGAGTCAATTTTCCTGGCAGATGGTCAGTGAGGGTGTGCGACAAATTCCACAGACAATCCTGGAGCTCAGCACTGAGAATATTGGTGGACCTTCTTGGATTCATGGTCTGTCTGTGCTGCTTTTTGGTTGCATTGTCATCTGCATTGGCTGAGAGCTTGTCCACAGAATAAAATGTAGTCAATGGCTGGCCATTTTCCCTTGCAAACCTCTCACATCCCAGTTCATTGATTTTATCTCTGTGTGTGTTCCATGCAGTAATAATAGACACATTGCGGAAGCATGGCTGGTTCAACTTGGGTCTACCTGGACCACGTCCTGCAACACGTGACTGCAGAAGCTTGACATCCTCAGGTGTGCATGACTTGTATCTCAGATTCTCTAGAGCTGTCCTGAGCTTGGCATCATTGGCACCCTGTGACCGCTGTCTCATGTTCTCGCGCAGAATGACAACAGTGGTGAATTGATGCCACAATGCCTTGCCAATGGATGCCTGCTGGTGTGCATGACTGTGGGTGCGATGGATGACACGTCCAACTTTGTGCAAGTACAGTGCATTTCCACTCATGGCTGGGGGCAGCTGCGCAAAGTCTCCTGCAAAAATCATGTTGATCCCACCAAAGGGCGCCCCATCATTTTTCAGTGCTGCACACATCTTGGCACAAATAGTATACACGCTTCCGCAGTCGACCATGCTGATCTCATCAATGAACATGTACTCCACATTCTGCAGGCGAGCACGCACTTGGAGCAGGGTAGCCACAGAGTCTGAGGATGCATTTTGTCTGAGTCCTAGCATGGAATGGTATGTAGATCCTCCAATAAGCGCTGCTGCAGATCCAGTCGGGGCCATGCACATAAACCGGTAGCTTTCCTGGCGAGCAGCAAAGAAGTGTGTCAAAGCTTTAATGACCTGTGACTTTCCTGTCCCTGCCATGCCCCCGAGGTACATTTTGAGATGCTCGCCATTAGATTCTACAGCATCACTGCAGATCACGCCAAATATGTCACCAGCTACATTGGGATGCCATTTTAAATAACATTTGGATTTCATGTGAATGCAATTCGCGAGCCGTAAAACACAGATTCAACTGAAATGCATCCCCCGCCACGCACGTGAGGCGTTTTCTGGAATATCACATTGTCACCTAAGGCCTGGGGGCCGATCTCTGGACTTCAACGTTTCAATATCAACCACGACGACCCGGCCTCAGACGGCGGCCATGTCCCCTCCCGTCTTCCCTTGCTCGTTGTCTTCCTGCAGGTCTCGCTTTGCCTTTCTGGCTTCTCACTGCGGAGCTACAGCTGCCGGGGGATAGTGTTTTCGCGAGACACAACTCGTTGGCTGGCCGCGGGCGACCGCGGACAACGGTGAGGTTCATTTTGTTTACCTTCAACGGCGCGGGCTCATAGCTGATCGATGATCACTGACTACGGCCAACTAATCACTAACATGTGTTTACTGACCTCACCTGACTCGGGTTAATGATTACTAACCTGACCTCACTGACCTCACTAACCTTCACTGACCGCGCGCTAACATGCTTACTGACCGCGCTAACATGCTTACATACTGACCGCGCTAACACACTTACTGACCACGCTAACGAGGCCCACACTTTGAGTTAACGGGCCCCCTTTGACCGACTCGATTGTTACACCGGGGTCGTCGTATCACAAATATATTTTCCCTTGTTGACATGTCTTCTATGTTGCGTGCAAGGGGCATTGGCGGGAACGCGAGCGACGAAAAACACGGACCGCACCGGGCTGCATATGGAGCCCACGCCAGGAAGCGCCCAAATTAAATCTCAATTACATTCCAATGACATGTTCCTTTTGATGTCGATATGACGGACATGCAACGTCAGCTGCATCCGTATCACATTGTTATCACATTTTGGATTTGATCCGAATGTAACCGGATTACATTTGGCTTGCTCCGCAGTGCATGGTTTGCAACAATGCGGAAGGCTCTCTCCTGTGCTTCATTCAGACTGAATTCCTTGGCAGTGGTGTCAATGAGTGCCTGAGCCTCCTGGTCCTGTGCCTGGAATGCTTTGCTCATATAGTATGACCTGTCAATGACCTTGACCTCATTGACTTCATCATTGACTGGCAGAGTACTCGCATTGGCAGGTTTCTTCAGTGCAGCCTGGGCATCTCTGGCATCCAGTATCTCTTGGCGCTTGGCAGCAAGCACATTCTTCCAGTCTGCAGAGCTCATATCTTCCTTGCTGTTGAACCTTGATGGCAGTTCAGAAGTGTTCTTCTCTTTCATAGGGTCTAGCCAGCCTGAAGCCTGGATGATCTGTTCAGCCTGCAGCATCTGTGTGCGTCTGCTTATTTCTGCATTGCTCAGCTCTGTCCAGTCATTGGTCCGCAGCACCATCTCCTCAATCTCGCTGATGTTGAGTTCCCCATCATCATTATAATACTGGGTGTCCAGGTCATCCAGGGTGGCATTATCCATGTTGAATGGTGAAGGACCAGTCTTTCCTCCCTTTTTGCGAGCAGCAGAATAGTCGTCCCTGGCATCATTGCACTCATATTTGATATGAAAGAATTTCATGACCTCCAGCTGCCGCTCTGTGAATGAATGGCCATTGAACACATCATCCCAGAGCACATCCTGGCTTGGTCTCAGATCCTGTCCAGTGCGCCATGGCTTGAAGAGTGTGAGCATGGTCATGCAATATTGTTCACAGTTGCCTGCATCTCTTCTGGGGAGTGAACCACCAATAAAGTTGGGAACATATGCCTCAGACTCATCCAGCAGCTTCACATGATGGGTGTCATACTGTGGATGATTTTCATGGAACTGCACATATTTTGACCTGGATTTCCTGGGCTTAGGTGCGCTATCTGCTTCAAGCTCCTGGTTTGATGTCTTTGTGAGCAAGAGTTCATCCTCAGATTCCTCTTCCTCTTCACTGACTCCAGCACCCTTCAATTCTGCATCACTGACATCATAGTTGTCCTCAACTCCGAGTCCACATCTGCATGCTCATTAATAGCCTCTT